TAAGTTTTTTGTTCAATACATATTTAAGTATATGTTTAAGTTGTTCTTGTTTTTGATCATTGTCTATTTGTTTTATAAATTGTTAATAATATATTGTTTAAATGTTAATAATATATAATTTTTAGTATTTTACTTTAATTATTATTAATAAACACTAATTGTAAATATATATATGTATATATGTATATTTATGTATATATATATATATATATATATATATATATATATATATATATATATATGTATGTATGTATGTATGTATGTATGTATGTATGTATGTATGTATGTATGTATATGTATATGTATATGTATGTACATGTATATTTATATATATATGTTATGATGATCGGTGTGCATATGATTTTTTGACGATCATTTTTGTTACCTTTTTCTCTTGAAAATTGTTAATTACTAAACTTACTCTTATTATGATACTCTTTGTGATATAGTTAAGTTATTTGCCAAGTGTGCTTAGTGTTTATCATAGGCAGAGAATCTCTTCTCTTAATTTTCCTTTTTATAATATTATATTTTTGTACATATATATAAAATATTAATCTAAACACATACATGTATAGATATTTATATTTGAAAACAATAATTTATGAATGTATATATATAAATATGCAATAAGTGTTCGTTCGAATCTTGGTGTCCTAATGTCGGTTATTTTTGTCTGTTTTTGTATTGCTCGATATTTAAGAAAAGCAGATAGGACTGAGTTTAGGGAATCTCCTCGTCGGACACCACTACTAAAGCTTTCTTACTAGCTGGACAAGACCCTGTAATCAACGGAAATACAGCAAAGGTTATAAAGTGACATTGTGGATATAAGACCCAGCACTCGGAGCTGAAGAGCGGCCTCGGCCCAAAAGACCAGCTTTGTAAGGGATTTATATTTGTAAAGAGATTGCGGTAATTCGCGTTTCCGATTTCTCTCTATTCTTTACATTCGACTTTGTTCTCACGGCGCATCGGCTTGATCATGCTAAGCCGACGCTCGCAGATCTAGTATAAGAAGAGAAACTAACTCGACAGCTCTGCAATTTTTCTTAAACAGAAGCGAACGACAGTGAAAATCGCATTTAGAAAGAACAATTTGTTCAAGATTCAAAACTGTTTGAAACTCTAAAACTAACTAAAGTATCGATACTCTAAAATTTGGTTTATTTTCAGTTAAAAATTTGAAAGCTTTCACTGATAATTTTTATTTCGAAATTCGGACAGTTTCTAAAATGTAGAACTTTGAGTACTTCCCACTCGTCAGCATTTTGTTGTTATTATTAAAACATTCGCTGGAAGCACAACGAAAATTGCCAATATTGTTGCTGGTCGATATTTTTGCCGTGTTTATTTTAGTTTTGGCCGTTTGCACAATTTCCGTTGTCAGTCGTGTGTTTCGTACTTCGCATCGTTTGGCTTCTAATTTCTGCCGCATGTTGATGAACCAAAAAATTGCTGCTCTCCCTTGCCAGCTCAGCGGCCACCCACTGGCGTCGACACACTTTCCATTGGTTTTGTTGCTTGACTGTTTGACATACACGGCGTATGCGTGTTATAAGCGCTTAACAGTGCCAAAAAGCAAAAGTTGTTGTTGCTCTGCCGCCGTTTGGCAGCCAAAAATATCAACGATGAATGGAGACCAAAACTCCAAATTGGTCGTACAGAAAATTTACTATAGTTTTACTGTTATTTTGTTGCTTATGCGCTTGTTTTTTCCGTTTCGATTTTTTCTCGACTCGACACTTTTTTTCAGATTTATTAAAAACTACGAAATTAAAGAATTTAATGTGATTTTAGTTTTGCTGAACCAGAGAACAATATATATTTATTATGTTATAATAATAACATATTTTAGAATTCTAGAGTCAAATAAGTCCTTTATGAACGAGTCAAACAAGCATCTCATACTCCATAAAAATCCATTAAGCAATTTGTCATTAGTGTACAAAAAGAAGATGCTCCTTAAGTGGCATTACGGCTGAGCTGGCTTAAACATTAGCACGCATCAAAATGCAAAGTAATTAAAAACGCCAACGACAAAGACAGACAACGAAATTACAGAAATTACATGGCGCAAGAGCAATAACAACAAGCAGCCAGCAGCAGCAGCGAGAACAACAACAATGACAATGATTGTCGGCCGTAATGCAATTTAATGGCCAACAGAAGCCAATGGCCGTAACCACAGAATGGCCGGGATGAGTTTGAAGTGTTGCAGATATTGGTCAAAAGTGCCGCCGACTGGCCAACAAAAGCCACACGGACAGCAGCTGACCAGCAATGCGAGATAAACGCCCATTGGAGCAGTCATCAGGGCGCTGGACACACAAAGTTGAGCTTGGACAGCCGGCGACAAAGTGCGCTCACATAATAATAATGGAAATAATTTAACTTATTGGATTTTAATGGGATTACATATGCGCAACATGGCCAGCAGCGGGTATTAAAACTTGGCCAACTTCATCACAATGTTGCCGGTGCTCAACTGTGTCTGCATGTGTGTGTGCGTATGCGTAATCGCAGTTGATAAAGTCAAATTCAATAATGATGCTTGGGCGATCGTTGCTGATTGCAATAATTGCATACATTTCATAAAAAGAGTATTAAGCTTCCGCAGACAAACCAAGCTGCGCAATATAAAATATAAGAGTACATTTATAAATTATACACAACTATTTTGAAAGATTGATGCTATAGAGAGATTTTATTATTGACCTTAAGAACTAATTGCTACTATATAAAACATTACTAAAACTTATGAGGATCTTCGATATACTCTTATGGCCAACTACATCAGAGCATAACGCAGTCAACCCCGGTTTCAGTCGAAACTTGTAAGAAGGCAATTCATATAATCAAGAGACATTAACATATATAAGCTTTCCTTGCAGAAATCTCACAGCACAGCCCAATGCCCTTATTCAGACCTACCTGAGAGCCGTAAAAATAAACACATGTCTCAGCTGAAAAGGTCAAATTGTTAACCTGAACTTTTTAATTTCCATGTAAGTCTTCCGCACTTGTGAAATATTTACGTCTTTCCAAAATAAAGTATTTCATATAAATAAATAAGTAAAATTAAGAGAAAAACAAACAAAAATAAACATTTTTTCTTGACAAATTAATAGCTATCTATTTTTGTAAGTATATTTTTAATATTATTTTTAAAAATAGTTGATGAAATTACACAGAAGTTGATCTGGTTTCATTTTAACAAATTTTATGACTGTAGCTCGAAGGGTCTACAAATGACATGCAGTGCATGTACCCGCATAACTATATATATAATTTCCATATTTAAGTATCAAGTTTTTAACTTTAAGAAAATTAATAAAAACATTATTTGTCAGAGAAACTGTTTCTGATATACCAAAAGAATTGGTATATTCTTATATTAACAAACAGAAAACTCATATTTATTGTAAATTTAAATTATCCATTTCATATAATCCCGCTGATGCATCACTCAAGCTCAATTATCTTAATTATACATTTGCTTAAAGCTGAACTTTGAATATATTTCAGCTGAAATGAGAGCTTGACTGACATCGGAGAACACATACGGCACACACACGCACACACACAGATACAGCAACCGCAACTTGACGGCCTGCCACTGTGTGCCGTGTAAACCATATTGCATATCCTGCCGCACTGCAGCACCTCCTGCTGCTAATGTTGCTCCAGTTAGTGCTGTGCACATGTCGCTGGCACGCTTTGGCTGCGAAGACTGTTTTAAACATTTAAACACGGCCAGTTGCTGGCTGATGATCTACTGCCGAGCCACGAACTTTAACCGGCCGCCAGGCAGTGGCAAAAAGTTTGTCACGTCAGTCAGTAATCAGCGCATGGTCAACAGCTAACCACAGGCCATATCACATCCAGGCGCAAACTGCCGCGAGTCTCGACAAATCCAGGCATGTAAATGGTCCGGCGACTGGGTAGGCGCATAATATGTGTTAGCCTCGTTGTTTCGATCTATGTTGAAATACTATTCTGGCCGCAGGCTCATTGTTAAAATGTTCCTTGTTTTGTTGCTGTATGTCCTGTTTATAATGATATGCGCTGTATGGAGGTATAATGGCTTGCAGCGTGTTTATATAGACTGCAGACAGCTTCCGCTTCGTAATTCATTAAGTTTTTATACTCTTATTAAATTAATTTAATAATAAATTAAATAATTTACAGTGAAATGAATGTTTCAATGAAAGTTTCATAGGAAAGATATGCTTAAAAAGTTTGAAATGCCCCATATATATATTTATTAAAAAAAACCTGAATCTAGTAGTAGCTCAACTAAGTTACAGGGTAACTTATAGTCGACACTTCATTAACTAGAGTACTTTCTCTTCTACTATATTTTTTTGTTGATTATGCGGTCGCCGCATTTGCTGACCACATTTTGGCTTCATTTACAGTTATTTGCTGCATTGTCTCATCGGGTTTTGCGTGCCACGCATGGATACCTGAAACCCCATTGTTCGAGTTGTCCGTCCAACAAATGACCCAACTACAACTAGAACTTGGCCCACACGCCAAAACCGCAAATTCAATTTTGGTTTGCAGCCTACAACGTTTGTTTACAACGCTTTGTTAATATTGTTGTTGCTACTGCTGCTGCTGTGTCCTTTTAATGCAATTTATGTGAAGTGTTTTACATGTTTTTGTTTTCCTCTAGCCGCAAACGATCTTTTGTGATATAAATCAGACGTCGAAATGCGAAGCGGGGGTGTATTTGTATATGTATTTGTATGTTCATTTGTTAACTCTTCCCTTTTTACTTTTTAACAGTTGCACTGCTTGCAAGTTTGTTGCTATTTATAATTCAAGCGGTTGCACTGCTTTCCCGTGAATATTACAAAATTGGAATGGTATGTACACTGCTTTTTAAGTGCTTAACAAGCAGTGCATTAAGGCTTCCATTTAATGCACTACAAAGAAAAATCCATTTCATCAATTAAAACTAAAACGGATAAATATCTTTTTACTATTGGTTTATTTATGTTCTATATACATTCACTGGCTTCACGCGCATTGCTTTACTCTTTTCTCTTTCTTTTTGCTTCTATTGCTTTCGATTTCACTTTGATGATTTGATTGCATGGCTTTCTTGCCTGTTTGAGACTTTTGTCGATCATTGTCGTCCTCCATAAGCTCCCAGAAGAAGACATTTTGCAATGCTGACTTGAGCTCTTGGGACGTTCTCCCAACCACCAAAGATAAGTTTGGTAAATTTTTAAAGAAATCCGAAGTATCTGCGATCTTATGCTCGATTGCTGGCGACTCTTTGTCATCAAAGTTTTGCAGCCAATGATCGATTTTCTCGCCAGTATTAAAGGCCAATTCTGGGCTCACTTTCGTTGGGCAGGCATTATCAGCCTTACGGATTTTATTAGCCAGCTGTAAGGTGTCTGCAATTAGCTCGTTCTCTAGTTCGTGATCGGAGGCTGTATCGATGTGTTCATTGCAATCAGTGGCATTTCTAGCTGCTCCCAATAATTTATAGTCTTGATCGGCTTGGGGTTTTAAGAGCACTACTCGCTGTTTTTCGTAGGCCCCTTTTGTCAAAGTCTGGAAAGAAATTAGTTAGATAGTGACTTAAAAAAAGGCTGCAAACCGTTTGCCAACCAAATTTTTTAAACTAAAAAAAAAAAAGAATTAAAAAAATAGGAACGAAACACCAGATGAGATGACTTTTGATGGGTTTGCAACCCCGATTAATTAAGAGCAGTTCGTTTACTTCGCTGGATTGGTTTTTATACCGGTCATCCTTAAGCGCTTGATTTGACTTTGATTTGCTGGGTGGCAGTTGCTGATATGATCGCGATCTATCCTGATTTGGACGGTGATAGCCTTTCATTTGCTGTTCCAGTATATTCTGCGGCAACGGATATTGTTGTTGCAGCTGCTCCTTTGAATTTTGCTGCTGTGACTGATCCATTTGTTGCGAAAAGCCAGCCAAATGTGGCTGCTGTTTTCGATATTGTTGATTAAGTGGATGTAGATGTTTTTTTTTATGCTGTTGATTATGTTTTTGCTGCTGTTGCTGCAGTTGATGATGATCGTGCGGTCTTTTTCCTCGTGTATCATTCTGTGAGTGCTTTGAAGTATCTTTTGCTTCAGTTCGTTTGTTTGAATCTGATTGCTGTTGGGGCTCAAGGTATTGTCTTGATTGCTGCTGCTGCTGTTGTTGCATGTCCTGATGCTTTTTTCGCTGCTGTTGTTCTTTCTGTGCTTGCTTCATATGTTTTTGTTCGTTTTGTTGCCGTTGCTGATGCTGTTCTGGTTGCTGTGGTAGCCTATATTCAGGCAATCTAGATTTCTGCAAGGGTATATATAAAATAACAGTATATAATAGTAAAACGCGCGTAAAAAGGACAATACACAATACACTACAAAATTCTACTAACCTGACGTGCAACTGGCTGTGGCTTATTATTGTTCTCATCTGGCCTAAAGCCCATCATCGAGCCGCCTTTTAGTGACTGTTTGTCGATTTTTAGGCGTGGTATTCGTAGCATCGATATCGAATCTGATACACCAGATGGGTTAACCTGCGTGTGCTTTGCATTCGGAGGTCTGGAAGCTGGAGGATTGCACTGCTTGGCTATTGGCAGCATGACACTGACATTCGATCCCGTTAGTTGCTCTATCTATAAACACGGATCGATTCAGGTGAAATATGATTCTTCATAGACGTAATTTGTATTTACACTTTGAATCCTTATGTACGGCTCCGAGGTGGACAGCATGCAATTCCAGAACTCTTCATAGTTCTCCTGCCATTCCTCATAGCTGTATTTGTCAATTCCTGTTTGGGTAACAATCTGGCTCCACATACGTTGGATGTCCTCCTTTTTCAGCTGGCTCATCGTCTCCATTGTGACAAACAACTTGTGGAGATGCGTAACCTATTTTTGTTTTTATTACTACTCTTCGAACAGAGCCTACTAGGACTAGAGACTACTGTAGTCGAAATTTGTCAAAGGAAGGAAACGTTACCAAAACACATCAATAATAGCAGCTATATAATTATGCCCTCTCGCTCTCTCTCTCTACACAAATCTCTCAGTATCTTAAAGACACTTGAATAATAACATAGCTGATTTAAGTAGAAGAGTATTTAATATTCGGCCTTCTTGTTTAACATTTCTTATCGATAGTTTTCATAATTTCGATATTACTATTGCAGAAGCTTTATAGAGTACACTAAAATTCGTCATAGAACATTAAGTAAAACACATTTAATTATTTTATATATATTTTTTTTAATAATTAATGGGAATTCAATTAATTAATATTGTTTTGCCTAGCTACAGATGAAAACTTTCATATAATGCATGTATAACAATCAATAATTTTATGCTTTCACTAGTATATTTCAAGTACATATAATATTATTACAAACACTGTTCATTTTTACATTCGTAAGCAGCAAACGCAATATTCAATATATATATATATTTATATATATATATAATTTATATACATATTTGTATATATATGTATATGCAGTTATGTAAATATTTGATTTGCTAATTTGAAATATGAAAACTATTAATTCAAAATTTGTATACGCGTTGCTTACTTGAGTTTTTTATATCTTTAAATATTATGGTACTTTTGATTTATTTGAGAGTAGAACATTTTGATTAGCATAGTTAGTGTATGTGTATGAGAGCATGTATATAGTAATATCTAAATAAAACAACAATGATGATCAATTGGAATGCAATGAATATGAATAAAAATTTAATGGATTCAGAGTGCTACAATTATGTAGTCCTCAAATACTATGAGTTAATAGGTTTGGCCAATTAATTTGCTTGTTAGCACATGGATTACAACAGCAATACATACACGAAATACATAAGAACAGTACATAATACGTAGTTACTAGAATTTAGTATTTTGATATGATCATGAATCACAACAATATGTTATCAATATCTATTGAATATACAATGTTTCTTCTTTTAGTTGGGCGTAATATCAATGACGATTTACACGGCTAAATACACAGGTAGCAATATACTCATTTGATTTACTCGTTTTTAAAATAATTAACAGTGTGCTATATATTTAAAAATTGCTGCTTTAGAAGTCCTAGCAATGATAATAAAAAACAAAACAGTAAAATCGATTTTAAGAAACTTTTTGTAAAAGGAAAACATTCTTTGGAACGATAGCAAATAGAGCTTAAAAATATAAAACCAATATAATTATATAGTATAGTTTGTAATAGTATAGTATATAGTCGAACTATGTACGTAAGTATATGACGACGAACGGCAACGTGAATAGTGTCCGTGTTTAGTACGGCTCAGTCTTCTGCTAAACTCAACGCAATGTATCGATGATAAAAGCGAAAAATGACTCGAGGACGTCTCTGTTGGCATTGGTATTGACTTTATCGCACACAAGGCTTAGGCATTATTATTTTCGCCGCAGCATTGTATGCAGTCCATGCAGTTATGCTACCTGTTTCCATCATTCTTTCGGGTCATATTCGATGATGTCAATTGTATCTATAAACGAAAGATACAAATTAGAATCGTCCTTGAGAATTTTAAATTACAGATACATGCAACAAATAGTTAGGTGTGTGTTGGTGTCATAAGTAAGATTCATGCGTGCAATATGTGACTGACCTTTAGTCCTTGCATTATTATTTGTGGTATTCTTAAGGCTAACGTATTTCAACTTCTCACGCAAAACAACAAGTACAAAACGTGTAAAGTGACACAAACGTACAAGCAACATTTAGACGTGTACAGATAGATAGATAGACAGTTAAGTGAGTGTTGATCGGTGTGTCAGTGCGTTTCAATATAGTTCAATACAAATGAAAATATACCTGCATGGAGCGTATGGTATCTAACAAGGCCTTCTTCTCTTCTAGCAATATGCTAATATCATCCTGTGCTGCCTTCAAATATGATCGCAAAACATCAGTTTCCTGTCTGGTCTTTTGCCTATTTTGATTTTCAAATAAAATGTAATATTTCTTGCGACAAGGTGTGAAATGTCACACTTACCTGTAATTGTCAGTGTTGACCTTGGAATCGAGAAGCTGTTTACGCATGTGCTCATTATCAAGCTTCATTTGCTGCATCACCAGTTGCATGGAGAGCAACTCACGATCGCGTTCACGTGGTGTACCACGTAAGGCACCATTTAAAGCCTGCTGCTGCTCAGAGCTCAAATTTGTATCTGCAAATTAAATAATCATTATAGAAATCTTAAATGGTTATGATCTAGCCATTAACACACCTATGGGCTGTATGTTGAGTTGGCCGGTTTTGTCGCGCTCCAAATGCATGCGCCCAATACACAAATTAATGGGCACTGGGCCCGGCGAAGTAATATTGACAGGCGGGCGATCTTCCAACAAATTCACACGCACATTTTCCAGGTTTATCTAAACACAAACGAACAGATGAGCCAGAAGCATTTCGGCTTAAATAACAAATTTACCGAAACGGGCATGGGCGGTGATATTATCTCATCCTCAGCCAGATCAGCTAGACCAATCACTGTGCTCATGGACAGGTCTATATTAATGTCCTTGACATGTATCTCGGCATGATGTGTAAACCAGCTGTAATTGTTAAATTAAGGCAAAAGGAAATTAGAGATTTTGAAGTAGAAATCTATAGCTGAGAGAAACGTACCTTTGTATACGCTTGCGATCAATCAATCCATCAATTTGCTTGGGCATGTTTAGAGTCTCTTCAAGGCGCAGTTTGATACAGGGCGGCGCTTCTGGATTGTACGGTGCCAGATTCCAGGCCTTGCAGCGTGCTCCAAACTTGGTCTGCAAGTGAACCACAACATAAATCAATGTGTTCCAATACAAAGCATAATACTCTATAAGGAGTAGAACTTGCATGCATAAGAAACACTAGAAACATGCTAAGCTGTAAGCACTTACGCACATGCAGTCTACTGTGAATGTATGTGTGAGTGTGAGTGTGTGAGTGTACGAATGTGTGAAATGTTAAAGATATTCTACTAAGCAGAGTTAATTTCAAGTTTATTGATTGTCAATAAGATTAAGCAGCGTGTTTATTTAGTGTTTGGGTCTTTAGTATGTTAAGGCGCCAATTGTTAAGCCAAATGTTCGTATCCAGTTAGTGTTGTTATTGTTGTTTAGTTGTTGTTGTTAGATGTTAGATTCGTATTTGCCCAGTTGAGGTGTGAACGCCTGCAAACCTAAGTGTAGTTATGACCAAGCCAATTCGCAACAAAAAATCAACGGCAACTTAAAATTAGAAACTAAACTTAAAAGTGGGTACTACAAAGGAATAATTAACTATTTAATCAAAACTTAATGCAGTATATATAACTTTGAATATCTGCAACGCCTTACAGATATAGGCATCGGGGCGCATGAGGAGGCATGCTTAAAAAACATTCGTATTAAACAATAAACAATTTGAAAAAGCTGCCTACATTATTTGAGATTTGATATCAACTTTTTGGGTAATTTCATATATATTTATTTATATATGTAAGAATAAATAACTCGTTCAAACTAGCATATGTTCGTATAATATAACTAATAAAATATATTTAACTACGTTAACTAGTGGCCAAGAACGCTCTCAAGCTGCAGCAGCGCTGGCAAAAGGAGCCAACACCAAATGTTAACTACAGAGAAAAACTAAATAAAAATTTCTCAAAACTTTAAACATGAAAATAAAAATAAAAGGGCATCAAATATTTGTTAATAAGTATATACAAAAGCGGCATAAATAATAAACAAATAAGTTAGCTGTTAAAAAAGAATTTCAATTTTGTAGTTGAGCTTTTTTCTATACCTTGTTCGCTTGATGCGCGATCTGTTTTATTGTTGTTGAAGAGTGTTGGTTGTTGTTGTTGTTGTTGTAGTAGTAGTTGTAGTTGTTGTTGTTGTTGTTGTTGTTGTTTTTTAAAAAATGTGTCATGTAGATGTTGTCGTAATTCAATTTACAAAGTGTTCGTTGTTGTTTATAGAGTAAATTAAACGTTGAGCACAATAGTCGTATTTAATTAGCACACATTGAGATCGATTTTTTATGAAAACATATTTGGTTTTTAGAGAAAAGAGAAAATATAATGAGAAAATGATTATATATGAGAAGTATATCTTACAGTAAATGTATTACTAAATAATTATTCAAATTAATAGGTATTTGTTTTACTTTCTTCTTTTTTTTTGTATAAAAACTTTGTTAGATATTCAGTAGAAATTGATCGGAGCATGCAGAAAACGATATGAAAGTTTTAGCGAAAAACATTTAATAAAGTTTCAGCAAAAGTTAAAAAAAAAGATTAAGAAATGGAAACACAACGAAATTATTTGCTTATGTACAAAACTTAAATCGTATAAAAGAGAAAAAGAAAAGTGTAGACATTAAAATTGAAACAAAAAGGTATGAATAGATAAACCATAGCAACCCAAAACCTTGCGAACCTGCAACTCATCCCAGGGTATTGCGCCACATTCATCACAAGAAACAGCTGACACCTGCAAACGCACCGAGGATTTGGAACCCTCCTGCTGGCGTATGAGCTCCACTGTGGTCAACCTATATTTAAATACAATTAAAAGTTGAAGTAAGACAGAAAACATTTAGATAGCAATTACAACCTAAAGGTGGCCATGGAGACTAGATCCCGGCGCCGCCAAGTGCTAGCTTCTGAAGGCTCTGATGGCGAGGACATGTTTGTCTTGTAACTGCTCGGCTCCTCGTAAACTTCGCTGGCCACCTCAACGGGAGAGGCCTTCATATTGTTGTCATTCGTAAAAGGATTGAGGCGGAACATAACATCCATGCAGTCCATTGTCTTGTCATCGCCCATTACTATTGCAAAATTCTCCGAATCGGAGCTTATGTCGCTCTGTACGGAAAAGGTATCACTGGCATCGTCGTTGGGCGTTCCGGACTTAATGGC